ATCTTGTCAATGCTTTCCAATTGCACGAGACACTACAGATCGCAATTGTATCACATGTGAGGAAAAGAAAATCGTGAATTTTGGGTCCTGGTGTTGTGAGATATGTACTTCCTGGCATAGATATGAGACGAAAAAGAACACAAGCAAACACAGATCGTTTACGTGGTTCGATCCAACTGGATCTACGTCCACGGAAGGGAATCAATCAAATAGTTCACTAAGGCAAAAGAAATGGAGAATACATAGCTTATACATAGAGATGAGCCCTCATCTTCCTTCTATGGCCTCCCTCTCAAGCGACACCTTGATACAAGGCCTCAAGATGCTCTCCTCCTCTCTAACTCTATAGCTATTCTCTCCTCCTTTGTGGTAGCTTAAGATCTCTTCTCCCTTTCCTCTCCTAAGCCTCACACCCTTAAGATTTCTTCCCTTGCTCTCCTAAGCCTCACACCCTCTCTATTTATAGAAGCAAGAGAGTGGTAGGTGGGAGGTAGGTGAGCGGTAGGTGAGCGGTAGACGAACGGTAGGTAAACGGTAGGTGAGATGTGGTAGGTGAGCGGTACCACATTACAAAAGTGTCATTTTACTTTAGTTCATTAATTGGGGGTCAAAATGACAATTCTCCACCTTTACCCTCAATTGAGAAGCTTTGAAGTAAAGATTCCCTCCACCTGGCCCCTGAGAGGCCCTCAGCCCTTGCTTGAGTCTGCTAGGTCCAAACAGTACGTGGACTTAGCAATCACGGTTCTTCCGATAAGAGAGTACAACCGCTCTGGTACGTACCTGACATTTTTCAGCACTCGTTCAACTCCATCAAACATCCTTATCCTGATTGATCCACTTCCAACAACCCTGTGGGCTTTATTGTCTCCCAGTAGAACGGACCCATCATTTTCCTGTTGCAGTGTCTCAAACCAGTCTTTGTGAGGAGACATGTGGAAAGAACACCCTGAGTCGAGGATCCACTCCTTACTGGATTCAGATTCTGTGATCACCAGGGCCTCAGCAGAATCGTAGTCATTAGAGGCTACGTTTGCTTTTCCTGATTCTTCTGGCTCTTCTTGGTACTTATAATTCTTGTCTGGGCAGTTCCTCTTGAAATGACCATCCTTGTGACAATGATAACACTTGAAAGTTCCCCTTGATGACTGATTCACTCCATCCTTGCTTGACCTTGATCTGTACTGACAATTTCTTGAATCTTTCCTGTCCGATTTTCCTCTGACAAGAAGACTGTCTCCGATGACTTCCTTGTCCCTGTCATGCTTCCTCTGAAGTCCTTTGTCTCTAATCAGAGATTGAACCTCCTCCAGAGTAATAGTCTGCACCCTTCCGAAGAGCATCACATCCTTGAAATGCTCATAGCTCTTAGGAATATAGTTTAGCAACAACAGTGTCTTGTCCTCATCGTCCATCTTGACGTCGATGTTCTCGAGGTCGTCAATGATCTTGTTGAACTCATCGATCTGCTCTGAGACAGATTTGTCTTCATGCATTTTGAAGGAGTATAGGAGCTGCTTCAGAAAGAGTCTATTAGCCAGAGACTTTGTCAGGTAGAGTACCTCGAGTTTTGCCTAATGTGCTTGAGTCGTTGTCTCCCTCGACACCTCCCTCAGAACTTTGTGGCTCAAGCTCAAGATTATCAAACTGTGGGTCTTCTTTAGTATGTCAATTTTCTCCTTCTCGGTCATGTCGGCTGGCAATGCTGCCGACCCTTGCAAGGCTTCTGCAACACCCTGTTGAACCAATAGAGCTTTCATCTTTACTCTCCATAGACCGAAATCATTATTACCGTTGAATTTCTCGATGTCGAATTTGGCGGAACCCATTATTGTGGCTTGATCCCCACGCCCATACAGAACATTTTAGAGGTCGAAACACCCCTTCCCGGTCCTCACTTCATTTTCCTTCAACTACCTGAGGAGATGAAACGAGGCATCATAACCTAACACCTATATCTCTGAACTTTTGTAAATTGAATATAGGGCGCTCCTTTTACAACAAACTAAACATCTCCTTAGAATAAATGAGATGTTTAGGAGTGTAGTAATTATTAGAGAATCAAATTTAAAATTGTACACTGATATTACGAGAAATGTCGATGGAATATTAGAGTTGTGCATTGGTGTTATAAAATTAATTTGATTGTATTGTAAGATTGTACAATAAAGTCAATTTTTATTTTATTTTATTCTATTTTTCTTGCTGCCAAGACGTAATATTAAGGAAAAGTAAAAGAAATCTTGAACTGAAAGTTTGATGGTAACTAGTTTATACAAGGTGGCAAGGTGGTGCATATAATATATATATGGAAAATTTACATTCAGAACACACGATTCTCATGTATTTACATATGTAACGCCTAAAGTTTAATATTTGCAGTTATAATACTTTGATGTTACAAACCTATATATGAAAAAGTGTACTTCACTTCTATTTGAGTGCTATATATTTAAATATGAAAGTTTAGATGTTAGATATATAAGTATATAAGAAGTGTGTTATATATATATATATATATGGTTTTGATTTCCTAATTGAGAGTTTGAGACCAATTTACTTATTGTTGTGAGATATGTACTTCCTGGCATAGAAATGAGACGAAAAAGAACACAAGCAAACACAGATCGTTTACGTGGTTCGATCCAACTGGATCTACGTCCACGGAAGGGAATCAATCAAATATTTCACTAAGGCAAAAGAAATGGAGAATACATAGTTTATACATAGAGATGAGCTCTCATCTTCTTTCTATGGCCTCCCTCTCAAGCGACACCTTGATACAAGGCCTCAAGATGCTCTCCTACTCTCTAACTCTATAGCTATTCTCTCCTCTTTTGTGGTAACTTAAGATCTCTTCTCCCTTGCTCTCCTAAGCCTCACACCCTTAAGATTTCTTCCCTTTCACTCATAAGGGAATTTTCGGTCTTTGCTCGCCGCTTCCCAGTCGTTGCCTTCCCAGCTAGGCCTGATAGCAATCGTATCGAGTAGAAGGCGCTGAAACTGGACAGATTGTGAGTTACAAATCTCTATATGTCGTGCTTTCGTTGGTGTCGTCGATCTTCACAAATGAAAACGCGATTCCTTCGTCGCCTTCTCCGCAAGCTATGATCGCAAGGAGAAAAGCTGCGGCTGGTTACTGTGAGCTGCGATCCTTTAGTCGTATCTGCGACTGCTTCGTGTGAGTATGGAGCGGAAGGAGGCGAGTTTCAGTCCTGGGTATGTTGTGATTCATCCCCACATCACAAACTACTCTTTTGTAAGCCCTTTGTTGCCTTCTTTGGTGAGTCGCGAGCTCGTCGTTGCCTTCCCCACAAGCTCAAATTGCGACTGTATGACGATTCCGAGCACTTTTTCTCAGAAATATTGCTCTGATGCTAATTTGATACAATCCGACATTGAAATTGACTCAGAGTTTTATAGAAATTAGGGAAAACACAATTTTTTTCTTCAATAATCCAAACAACTCATACAAATACAAGAGATGAACACATACAATTTGAGAGGTAAGCAATCTTTTCTAATTCTCACAATTCGAGAGGAAGTCTCTTCCAAATCTAAACCTAAGACTCACACTCAATCTCATGCATTACCCAATCCTAAACATAAAAAGACTATTGATAACCAACAACAACAACAATAATAATAATAATAATAATAATAATAATAATAATAATAATAAACGACTAAATTGCCCTTAGGCGTACAAAAGACAAATTTGCCCTTAGACTAATAGCCCCCGAAATAAATTTTTTAGAAACTTAGACTGAGAGAGAGAGTACTTGTGGTAAATAATTAAACATAATCTCATTTCTTTTGATCAACTTGGTACTAATTTATTTTAAAAAATGGTTTTTAAGAAAAATTAGAAATAAGCAACCTAAAAATGAGCATTTTATAAAATATGTAACAAAAAAGTAGTCAAGTTCAAATACATCTATACTACTTAAAAAAATGATAAATAATCTTGTCATTACTGCCAAACATGTGCCTTGATTGGGCAGTCCAATTAATGCCAGGTTTTATTATTATTATTATTTTATCTGGGATTTACATACATGCCACTTAATTCATATGAATTTGCATATTTAACGCTTCAATTTTAATAATTATTTATTTAACACTTTAATATCTCATTCACAGCAAAATATATGCATGAAAATATGTATTTAACTTTAGAAAAATTGATATTAGTGATTTTTTTTATATGTTATAAAGATTTTGATATTATATAAGTTAATATGTAAGTTCAAATGCCAAGCATGTAAATACATGAGAATAATGTGGCATGTAAGTAAATCTCCATTTTTATTGATCATGAGATATGTAATATTATTGACCATGAGATATGTAATATTATGCTATTAATAGATATCACACAAAACACTAAATAACAGTATTTTCAAAATGACATATAAGTTCTATCCTAGTGACATTTAGATTAGGGGAGTAAAAAATTGACCCGACATGCCAACCTGACTTGAAAAATCAGGATTAGGGTTGACACAAATATTTTTCGAATCGGGTTCAAGTCAAACAATTCAACCCATTTATTATTATGGTCGAAAACCAAAACATGATCCGAATAAGCACAAAATTTCGAGCTGGGTTTGGGTCGGGTTCGGGTTTTAGTTTTCAACCCTTTTATTATTCAGGTTGGGTTCGGGTTTCTTAGTCGAGTTAGGTTATTTTCGGGTCGGCCATGCAATCTCTGTGATGGGTAAAGCAAAGAAAGGAAAGTTATAATCATTAATAATCTTTCTAGATAGCATAATATTTGTTGAAATAAGATGATATTGAATCAAACACGCTGTATTCGATAGATAAAATTGTTATATGCATAATTTTGTTATCTGAATAATATGATTAACTTGTTAATATTGTTATCTATTCAGCATTGAAACAAACGTCCCCTTGAATTGGTTGCTTTCCATCTTTTATTGTGTAATAATTTCGGTTTTATCATGCACCACTTATTTATTTACGTCTTTTGTTTGCAGGTGTATATGCTGAAGTCGATGATGTGAAGAAATTGAGAAAGAAGTATGGAGTTCTTTCCGATTCTGAGTTTAGAGGAAGCAAAGAATTCTTTTCAGATGTTTTGGATCAGGATATAAGGATGACAGTCAAACTCCAAATTGTGTATGGAAGATTAACCATTGGCTCTGTGCGTAGCGCCTTTGAAGAGTCAGTGGGCAACCGGCTTAAAAAGTTTAGCAGTTCGGGGAACAAAGATTTACTTAATAGGTATTTATTCATTTCTGTTTTTCATAATTTTTTTCCATCTTCTTGGCAAAATCATTACATTTTGTAAAGCAAATATAAGAATAGATGGAAAAACTACTCTATATACTTGTAGAATTGTTTGCTTAATCATATCTGTTTGAAAGAAAAATAACTTATTCACTTGTTTGGTGCTTAAGGTTATGATATCAGAGTATTAATATAGTAAGACAATTTAGTTTAAGGCCCTTTTTGGTTCATTTTCATTTAATGTGATGTCATATTATTCAGAGGGATAATTATTTGATCTACCAACAATTTAAAACAACTAAACATACATCTTGCTCTCACTAATTACTTTCACCATAGTTTTGGTCCACCTCTTTTCTCCTCATATCGCCTAGATATTATGCTTGAAGATCACCTCCATCTCAGTTTTTGAAGTCTTCTCATTTTTGATGGAGTTGTACAAGTCTACACACATCGATTCTACACTCATCGAAACATTGAACATATAAATGATATGAGCAATCCTTTAGTTCTGATTTTTATTATTGTGTTTGTTTATAGCATAATCATGTAGTTTTTCTAATTTCATTTACGTGGTTATGTACATAAATATGCCTATGATGATAAAGGTTACTTATGTGACTTGAGCTACCAGGGAGCCCTCGTTTCCGCTCCTTGCTACATGTTGTGTCCTTTTCTGCAGTATGTTACGGTCTGCGACTAGGCTGACTTTTGCTTTTGTGCTTAGACCGAACTGATCCAAGTTTTTTCATTTTGGTGGGAGTCGGCCGGTCCTTATGGGCCACTCCTCGCTATCTTCTTATTATATATTTGTTTTTTTGATATTTTAGGTTTAGTTTTTGTGTGTTTTATATAGGGACATCCATTGGATTCTCCTATTCCCTTCGAGTTGAGGTGGTGCTACAGTTGTATCTTAGTTTGTAGGTGGTGTGTGGCTTCCCTATTCTACTCTGCATCTTACATACTTCTCTTTCAACCGCCCTTCATTATTGTAACCGCCCAAGACAACATTTTGGTTGTTATTTTTTATAGTTCCAACCATCTCCATCGCCTTAGCCCCACCCTCAGCTTTGCTGCCCTAGCAGTTCCAGCCCACCAACATTTCTACCACCGCTAACCATCTTGTACCACTGCTCCACCTAGAAACCCATTCGTCTTGATATTTTTTGTAGCCTCTCGGCTGCCTCCCCTCCCCTTCCTGCATTGTTGCCGCTCGAAGTGCCCCTTTCTTGTTGTTACAGCAGTCCCACCTTGTCCCCACTACTCAGGACAACCAGGTAACACCTCCTTCCTGCTATTTTGCCGCTACCCATCCCTACTCCTCGCTGCTACCATTTAGGACTTCAACCATATTTGCTGCCCCTGCTTTTTTTTAACCTCCCCCTCACTGCTACAATCATCCTTTGTTGTCATTTGCACCTGCCAACCATTCCAATCCACCCAGTCGACCTTCACCACCTTTGCAATACACTATAATTGTGTTTGTTTTGTTACTATTGTTGCATTTTCCTTTTAGTGTGTGAGTTGTAACCGACCAATTAGCTTTCACAATAATAATGTTTGGTTTTCCTATTGTTGTTTGGGCTACGTCTGGTATCATTTGGTATCAGAGATAGTCTAAATTTAATCATATTTTAGAGTTTCTAGCATCCGTCATATCCAAACCTACCTTCCCCACCCCCCTCCCTACCGAGACAAGTGCCAGACGCTAAATAAAAGTTTGCCATGAAAGAGATATAGCGACAACTCCGCTGAGTGCTACAACGGCTCGATGAAATTGAGGAAAGGAAACTATCCCGACTTGTCATCCTTAGTCACAACGGTGACTTGCTAGATCTCAGGAATTGAGTGAATCTCTTTCATCATGCGGATTTCAAGGATGAAGAATTTTTATTCCAAAAATTTGACCTGAAATGTCTGAGAAGCCATAAATTTGAAGTGAACTTGGATTTGTCATATTTTTTATGAAGAACCTTTACCTCAAAAATTTGACTTAAATCTGAGAAGCCATAATTTTAAAGTAAACGTGGATTTGCCATATGTCTAATTCAAGTTCTTATTTATGAATTTTATCGATTGATTCTCTATTTGATCTCGTATTGATGGGGATCAATATTGCTTTATAAATAATTATACAATTGTTCCCTCTTCAAGAAAGACATTAGCATATTTTGGTATGATACATAGAATTTTAAAAGGATGACCTATAATGGTTAGTAGACAAATATAGTGATTTATAAAATTACAATGTATGTTATGACTAATGTAAATTAAAATAATTTATATATGAATGTTTGTTTGTGCATATTGATGGAAGGAGTTCACCTCCTCATGGTACTAATTAGGGACACTAATGTCCACGTGTGTGTTGATATTTTGTTTTTTTACTTCATACAATAATAAAAATAAGCTTATGCCTTGTTGTGCCGATAGGAGATATATCAATCAAGGGTGGGTAGATTTTTTTTTCATCTCTTATAATAATAGATTTGTTATATACCCTGTTGTGTGAATGAGATGTGTACTAGCCAGAAGTGAGAGGGGTTATGTTTAGCCAGTGACCCAAAGACTAATGTACAAGGTAATATGTATAAATTTTATTAAAGTTAAAATTTTAGATTTTTTAAAGAGTAAAACAAAAATTAATATTCCAAAAACTTGTGCATTTATAATTTTTTGATGACATTCATAGTTATAAATTTTATTAATATGTTCATATAATCACACATTTTTATATAACATGATAGCAAAGACCTACATGCATGTTAATTTTTTTTTATATTTTCTTTGAGCTATTGTGATTTAGAATTATAATTATATCACTGGATTATCTTAGATAATTCATTATATTTTTTATTTAAAATTTTAAATAATTCAAGTTGAAATAAGTGAAAGAAAAAAAAATGTATACCATAGATAGAGCAACACAAAATAAGGTATTTGTTTTTTATTTGTTTTAGATATGTATCATATGAAGTTTTCCGTGTTTTTGGACCTAATTAACTTTTTAGAAATTGTATAAATTTTAATTTATAAGAATTCAATCATAATGGTTGTAATCTATTCATCATCTGACCGTATGTTCCCGCTTTGAAAATTTAAAGCCTTGGGTTTGTTCATGATAATCATTTTGTTAAAGTAGCCAAATTCTTTCTGCTACACCATTAAAAAATTTGGCATAAAGGCGTGTAGATTAAAAAAGGCATGGTATATAAGGGCATAGGTAAATCTATTATTAATCGTATGAGCTTGAAACCTAAGCCACACATCTATAATCAAATAAGCTGCTATATATATGACACAAACGTGTGTACTTTTCATTCAACTTCTACCTATGTTAATAAAAATTTATAATGTTTTACATATGGATGTTGTGCATGCTATATTGGTAAATCATATATGATTTATATGTGACTCACTTTGGCAGATTTGATACCTATGTGTTCAAGTGTAACGGGAGAATGATACTCTCGAAACCTACATATCCTAAAATAAAATTTATGACATTTTTTGAAGTATTTAATGACCCTAGTAAATTAAAGAGCCTTTGCATATTTTGAATTCATTTATTTTTAAAATAGAGAGTCTAAAGGAGGGATTGATTTATTGCTTGCTTACCATGGAAATGAAAGATATTTTGTTTGAAAATATTGAAAATATGAGTATAATTGATGGTATTTATTAATTGTTGTTTGATCTCAATGATATATGCCCTTTTAATCTTTCTAATTGTTTGTAATAACTGAAATAACATAAAAGTAATAATAATAAAATAAAATGGATTTTAATTGGATACCTGATAATTCGAACCAATCAATCATCTTCTCGATTGGATTCTTCATAGGTATTGAACATTTCATTCAAACCGAAGGTAAGGAATGGAAATGAGAGATCTTCATAGGAGCAGAGAGCAAGGAGAAAGTGGAGTTAAGCGCTTCTCATATCAAATTTTTGATGTCGTGCAGAGGAGAAGAGGATCAACATCAAGGAAGTAAGGTTGAACCCTAGTGTGCGGCTGAGAAGAGATGAAGCCAAGGAGAAGGAATGACCAAGCCGTTGTGTGTAGAAGTGCCTATCGAGAGGAGTCAAAATCCTAATGAGCCTATCCATTTCATGTGTGAGCGACATTGTGGATAGGAGAGGAGGAAGATCGAGCGGAGCATTTCTTGTGTGGGTTTGAGCATAAGAAGAGGGACAAAGAAGATTGTGGGGCTTATGTAAGGAAGAAGGGAGGCATGTTTGTTTCCACCTTAGCTTGCAGGTTCGAGCAGAGAAGGGAATAGAGCTTCAAAGCACTAGGTGCTTGCGTATGGGGGAAGATGCTGAATTGTGTTATGTAGCCGAGTCGGGCCAAGCTTTATTAAGGAGGTAAGGGTTTAACAATTTCTTTTTAGAACTTAAATTATATAAATGAAATTTTACTTAAACATTCATATAAAACTATGCTAATTGAAATCAGGAATTAAATAATTTTTTATTCGAATGATTAAGGTTTTGAATCGTGAATATTGGCAAGCAGGAGATAAAAAGATAATGAATAAGTTTGATGTTGTTATTTATGTAAGTTATTTAAGTTATTTTGAATTGTTAAATTAATGTTAATTGAGATTGATAAATGTGAATAATAAGTTTTAATAAAAGATACTAGATTAGACAAGTTCAAATTATTAAATTGGAGAATTGATGGGAGTAAAAAAAAGGTTGAAGGATCTAGAAGAGTACTCTTATTTTCGTTCGATAGTAGCATTTTTGTTTTTTTCTTAATTAGTTGCATTGATAGTTACCATTACTTATAAATTTAATTAGTTGCATTGATAATTATCGTTACTTATAAATTTAATTATCAAGTTTTATACTAATTTATGTGTTATTCTTTTTATTAGTTATATTACTATGATGATTTTATATTTTTGCGATAATTATTATTATGCATTATGCATATATAATATATTGAATTGAAATACACGTATGAATGATATGTATAACTGAATGTTTGTGCACGCTTGGTTATAATGAAGTTCACATATTTATGATACTAGCAGGGCAACACTAAAATACTCGTACCTGTAAATGGAAAAGGATATTGATATTGATGTGACATAATTTTAGACGGTGCTCCTGTGACAGTTATATATATATATATATATATATATATGAAAAAGATATTGATGTGTAAATGATATAGTGAGACATAGTGAATTAAAGTAATATTATTATTATTATTATGAATGATCATATTAGATGATATAAATCTTCACATGCTCTTAGATTGATTTGCATAAAATTTAACTAGCATGTATATTATTTTCTTTTCACAGTGTTACTATAGTTCAAGAGCATGAATATTCACTGTTTATGGTTAGGTCGTTGGTATTTTGAACTAATATTTCAGGTTGAATTAATTGATAAAATGATGAGTCATAGAAGAGGAAATGTTTATAGAAGACGCAGATAACCAAATATGAGGTAAATTTAATAATATTACTTCATTTATTTTTTTATAGTGGCTATTTCATTATTAAAATGTTATTTTTAAAAAGTGAATATATAAAAAATTAATATACACAGTCCGACCGTTTATTCCCACATTTCTTAATTTGAAGCCCCGTGCTAGGGCTGTGACATTACTTACCTACACTTAAAGATATATAGTATTTGACTGATATAGCTCCTAGATCATTATTGCCTAACTTGCTACATTATAAAATGAATCTAATTTGTTTATTGTAGATTAAAAAAAATAATAATGTTGAACGCTAAGCCCGTGATTGTAATGCCACTTTGCCACCTAATAGCACCATGTTTCTTGATCGCGTGATGTTGTCTTGCTTTGCCTGCTCGCATGAAATTTGATACTTATCTTTAAGCATGCCTCTTCCGTGTCTTCATACTCCTGCTTCCTCCCACTCCCTCAAAATGAAAAGCAATAATAAAATGTCCCCATGAACCACAACCTCGAGATTGCCCTATCAACATGAAGTTTGGCATAAAGCCCCATGATTTTCTTCTAAATCACTTGCTTTATCCTATCAACATATAGCTTTATGTCAAGATCCATGTTGAGCCCACGAAATGCCTCTTCCCCTTTTTGAAAGCCTGCAGTAGCTACAGTAGAAAGACATGGGAACACGGATGAACAACATAGAAAAGGAAAGAACTTATGATTTCAAAGGTATTGGGTATTTATTGTTTTCATGATTGATCTATGACTTGCTTCCGTTATACCTTTTATTCGCATCGGAAAAAAAAAACTCTTAGATGATCATATCTTTGATCTGATCAGAGTTATAACCTCCCTTTGATGATCTTTGAGCTGGAATCTGCGAGAGATTTTCTCATCTCTAACCAAGCCATTGAAATATACCAACCAAAGTCCCCACTTGCTAATATGTTGTTTTTACAGGCTCATTTCCTTACCAAGAGAAGGATGCCTTGTCTGGTTATTCCCAATGACCAAAGGAGTCGAGTCACTGAGGCCATATTCTTGTCAAGGCTTCTCTTCTTCTCCTCTACATCTTTTATTTAGCATAATTCTTTGTTCTTTATATTTTTTTCATCGACCGTCCCTCAACCTAAAAATTATTTTCCTAGTAGATTTTTTTAGCATGAAAATAGATGATTCTCAGGAACTGATAATTTCTTTAGGCTATGTTTCATCACCTTCCGCTTTGTTTAGTTTCTTGTCCAATAAATTTGATTTCCCTATATATAGCATAATTTTGAACATCATCATAAGTATGCTTGGTCAATGGTCATAAGCCACTCAAACCCAATTTAAATTAACAGATCAAATCTAAATTCAAGTTGAAAGAAAACAACACTAATATCAAAATACATACTCCATAACCATTTCAGACCTGCAGAACCTTAAAATGGAGAAAATGAGAAAAAAAAAGGTATTTTACATTCAAAAATACAATTAAGGGGTTTGGCCGCAAACGGGCTTAGAAAAATTTATGCACAAAGTGGGCATGATACAAATTCTTACTTAATGATCAAACAGTTGGTCAAAGATAAGTGGTGGATGTTGGTGTTATTTGATTTTTCAAAAAGAGAATAGGGGTAGTTTTTAAACAATTCTAGGTGCCCAACCTAAAGGAAATTTCATGCACTAATTTAATGTCTTACATTGTGCTTAAATTTTGGAAAGCTATTGATTTGTCATTACTAATGTTCTTTGCGGATTTTGTTAATTGAATATTTATTATTAACTCTTGGTCTTAAAACATTGCAGTTGTATGCTGTTATATCATTCCCTGTTATGCTGAGGTAAAATTTTCTGATTAAAATAGCTTCTTAAAATTTCATGGAAATGTGAAGCTCATGAAGCTGCTTGTATTTTTTTCTTCTTGCATTAAGCTAAATTTGCTTTTCTCTTTCAATTGCGCTATGATTATGGGCTTTTTTTAATCTTTTTCTGCAATATATCCAAGATGTAATTAATTTGAGTGCGCTCCTTAGGAATGCACCTTATTATTGTTAGCAAGCATATGGACGGATGAAAGAAATCTGCGTTGGCTTTGCTTTATTTTTCTGGAATGTTTTGTCATTAAATTAAATTTATATTTTCTTTCCTTGGAATATTTTTTTTTTTGCAGGTTTACATCACTTTTTAGAGATGAATACAAGCTGCCACGTGGCTCTGTTATTGATCTGTCGAGAGAACAAGGTTACGTACTTAGAACAAGAAGTGAGTTTTTGTGACCAATGTGTGACCGTTACTTTTTAGATTAGATAGATCTTATTGAATAGCTTCTAATTATTTTTGCTTTGGATACTATTTGATTTCCTAATCTTTTTATCCTTTCAAGTTAAAAATCTGGTTCTCTACTTACTTGCCGCTTGCTTTCCACTCCTCTTTCAAACTAATTGAGCTGTTGAATTTCAATGTAATTTCTCTTATATAAATATTACATTATCATGGACAATATGATCTCAATTTATGGCGCATGTCTGCTTAGTTTTAAGATTTTTTTTCAATTCCTAAAGTTGCTTTAGTTTCCATGAATGTTTTCCTACAATAGTAAAACCCTTCTAATTTCCTTGCTGCAAAGAAAGGACAAAGAAGGAGCTGCTTACTGCATCTATGAAGAATGTTTATCTGTGAACTTATTTACATATACCTTATCTCATGTCTATTTTTATGGAATGCCCAAATTTTTGATTGAATCTGTGAAGCATCATCTGGATATACCTCTTTCTATGCTCTAATTGGCCATCAGGTTGCTTGGGGCTTTTTTGTGATCAGTCTGTTTTATATTTTTACTTTTAGATTAAAACATGTTTGTTTAATACTTTTTTTTTAATTTTTTTGTTTTTATTTTCAAAAACAAATTAACTTGTTTTTAAAACTATTGATGAATAATAAAAAAAATTTATTGTTTTTAAACAACTAAACATGTTTAACATACCGAATGTGTTTTATTGCAAGTAATAATAAAAAAAACAAATAAAAATAAAAAAATTAAAATTTATCCTAAACGGCATAGTTTCCCTTGAATATTGAACTCTATTTATTTGATATGCAATACTTTATACAAGTCAGACAAGTTGGCCCAAGTATCATGTTTCTGAAATGATCCAGCGTCATAGAGCTTCTAATTTTAGCCGACTAGGTCTCTTCTAAAGTAACCTTTTCTTGTCAACATTATTGAAATGGACTTTTCACCTATAGGCAAAATGTGAGCAATACCGTTGACAAAACCGCAATGTTCATATGGCCTACATATGTTTTGGACAAAATTAGTCTTGTTGGGCATTGAAATTCAGTGTAGGGTAAACTCTTGACTTCCACATGAGTTATTCTAGTATCTAGAAAATTTCTTCTATATTGTCTACTCTGGCTATTGGGATGCAATAAAAAGGCTCTGCTTATACTAAGTACATCGATCAATATATATTTATATAAGTCGATGTTTTCATCTTACCATTTTAGATGCCAGGCTTGGTAGGTGCTAGCCATGAATTTGTCCAGGGGAACATTGATTCATTCTACTTTTATATCATTTTATCCAGATTCATTACATTCTCATCAAATAACATAATATTTTGTATCTTGTTATCCTCTTTCAAGTCATTGATGATTAACTATTTCAATCTCATAAAATGAAGACTTAGCTCTTACAGTGCCATTTTGTGGAATTTTGAGTTTTATATTTTAGTGTTATTATATTTTATTCTCTTTTTATTATGTCATATTTCTAACATTCTTGAATTATTTTATCTTTGGTAAGTTGTAACAGTTATAATTAAGTTTGCTCTAGTCTTTTCTGATTATATAAGGAGAAGAGTTGTAATTTGATTATTTAGAAAATAACATAATACAATTTTCTCCACCTTCTTCATGGTATTGGAGCCTTGCACAGCTGGTTGCTTCTGCCCCTCGGTTAGGCATCGTTCAATTCACTTGATTGTCTAAATCGTCATCTGCTCCAATCCAACGCGACAGAAATGAGAACTCGTCAATTGTCGTCATCTGCACCGATACAATGAGACAAAAATGAGAACTCGCCTATCATGTTTGGCGATGGCTCGCATCATCTTTGAAATCTTGTTATGTGAGTCGTGTGGCTTCAACTGACCGCACTGCTTCTCTGCCTTGTCTCAATCGACATCATATGCATCGTCTGGCTTGCTTCATCTATGACATTTGCCTCCGGCTGATTTGTGCGGCTTCTGTCTTAAGCATGAATCAAACCCAAGCTTCCAACAACCATTGGAATCTCCTTTGCTGGCTTGTAGGTCCTCTGCTCTCCCCTATAGTCGTAACTCTTCTCGTGGGCCCTCTATTCATCTTTGCCATCAGAATTCTCCCTACAGCTAGAATCCTCCATGCTGGAGGCCCTCCTCCGTCGGAATCCTCCCTGAACAAGGGAAGAAAGACCATGATAACAAGGTCCATGTTGCCACCTCTTCTGAAGGGTCGACCGACCCACCCTAGCCCTTTCACCAAGGAACATATGAAGGTCTTGAAAAAAGTTTTTCGAGCAAAACTGAGCGGCCTACCAACTTGATGATATCATGTCCTCCTATCTCGCTGATAATAGAGGATTTTAACTTATGACTGGAGATATCAAAAGTTCAACGACTCCTAATTTATCAGACTTGTCGATCGATCTCACTCTAGGGTTGTTGGGAAAGTAGTGAAATTCTCCAAAGATATTCAACTCTCCTCTGTGCTATATGTTCCAAACTAGATCGCAATTTATTGTGAATTAGTAAGATTACTCATATCTTAAGTGTGTTACTAAATTCTATTCTAACACTTGTGAATTTCGAGTAGTGGATTTGAGGAAAGTGATCGAAAGTGCTAAACTGCATCAAAGTTTGCGCCTGTTGAAGGAAAACTATTCTCTTAACACACAAGTGTTTTCTTTATTATCCTCTTCTCATGTACTTAAGTCTTTTACGCCGGATTCTATTGAAAACCAAGTTTTATTATGGCATTGCCGTTTGGGTCGTCGTAATTTTTATTATTTTGTAAAGTTGTACTCTCGCCTCCTTATTGATAAAAAGTTAGAATTTTATCAATGTGAATCATTTGCCAATTGATTAAACATGCTCATCATGTTTATCTTTTGTTCCAATACAAACCCTTACATTCTTTCTCTATCATTCACAATGACATTTGGGTACCATCAAAATTGAAAACTATCAATGGAGTCGGATGGTTATCTCCTTTATTAATGATCACACTAGAACCAATTGGACAAGCCTTATGAAGGAAAAATCTAAAACTACATAAAGCTTTTGGCCCATCTATTATATGATTTCCACTCAATTATAATGCAAAATTCAAATCATCAAAATTGATCATGCAAAGAAATACTTCAATTTTATCCTTGGAAAACCTATTTTGCAAATAACAGTATCATTCATGTGAGTTTGTGTTGACGCTCCACAAAAAAATTGGGATCGTTGAGAGGTAGCATGCACATTTTCTTAAGGTTTCTCGGTCCATAATGCTTTATCATAATGTCCCAAATGTTTTCTGGGGAGATGTTATGCTCACGGTTACTTGCCTCGTTAATAGAATATCAAACAGGGTCCTTGGATTCAAAGTGCCTCTTGAAATTGGGATAGAAAAATACCTCATGTCAGAGTCTTCTCATCTAATCTTCCTCTAAAAATATTTAGTTATCTCCTTTTTTCACATTCACCAACCAAATCAAATAAAACTTGATCCAAAATTTATCAAATGTATTTTCCTTGGTATGTTTCTATCAAAAAGGGGTACAAGTGCTATTCTCCCATTGCAAAACATATTATAACTCCATGGATGTTACCTTCTTTGAAAACCAACCCTACTACCCCAAATCTGATATTCAAAGGGAGAGCCCAGGTGAATATCAGATTTGGGACACTACTCTAGATACTCACTCTGATCGAGAGTTATCACAACTTATTCTTCTTGCCTACATTACACTGGATGCCCACATTGATCTAGAGTCTTCACAGCATATTTTCCTTCTTTCTAATCATCATGTCTCTCAAGTTCCACCAGTTGAGAACATCCTACTTGAGATTGACAATAAGAAACTCCGTGTGTATACTAGAAGAAAGAAATTCACTGAGTAGAAAAAAGACAATATGCAACCACAATACTCTTCACAACCAAATCTGAATTCACACATCTCTGAAGTTCCATGAGAGTTGAAATCCAGTGAAGAAGATAGGGAAGGTTGAACAAATTATCTTATTCAGGATTATATTGCCTATGGAAAGTTATCAACTTATAAAGCTTTTGTATCTAATCTTGATAATGTGCAAATACTCAAGTGTATTAATAAAGCACTTCATAGTTCATAATGGAAAAAGACAGTTGAAGAGGAGATCCAAGCACTTGGTAAATGGCACATAGATCTTTACAAAGCTTCCTATAGATAAAAGATTTGTTTGGTGCTAATGGGTGTTCAATTTTAAGTACAAAGCATATGGGAGCATTGAAAGGTTCAAACTTACGTCGGTGGTCAAATGCTTTACTCAGTTTTATGAGATAGACTATGAAGTGACATTTACTCAAATTGTCAAGTTAAACTCTGTAAGAGTTATACTTTCCTTGGCAATGACCAAAGAATTAGAATTTCATTAACTTAATATCAAGAATGTGTTCCTGAATGGAGACCTTGAGGAAGAAGTGTATATGAAAATTTCACTAGGATTGAATAATGACTCAAATAAACATATGTTTTGTAAACTAAGAAATTTACTTTATGACCTCAAACAGTCCCCAACGGTTTGGTTTGACAAATTTATCAAGACTATGAAATCCAATTTATACATCTAATACCAAACAGATCTCACACTATTCATAAAGCACAAATAGAGAGGTAAGAATTCTATAATCATTGTCTATGTAGATGATATATTATTGACATACGATGGTGAAAAGGGGATTGGGAAGATCAAGGAGGTCCTTGCCATTGAATTTAAAATTTAGAATTTAGAAGTCATGAGATTATTTCTAGGTTTGGAATTGGCAAGGTCCAAGATGGGTATTGTGATATTCCAAAAAAAGTACATGCTATACCTATTAAAAAATTGGTAATGTTGAGATACCAACCTGTTGAGACTCCTAATAATTTCAACAAAAAGTAACATTCAGGGGGAGTAAAGACACCAATGAAAACAGGTAGATATTAGAAATTGGCGGGTAAGTTTTTCTACCTGTCACATACTATACCTAATATTATATATTTTGCCGGCATTTTGAGTCAACGTATGAATAGTCCGAGTGAAAAATATTTAGAGATGAGTTACATAATATTGAGGTTTCTTAAAAAGACCCCTGACAGAGGGTTACTGTTCAAGAAATCAGACAATATGGATGTAAAGATTTATACCGATGTTAGTTGTGTAGATGAACTCACGGGTAGAAGATCCACTTCTAGGTTATGTTCCTATGTTTAGGGAAATTTTGTCACCTGAAGGAGTAAGAATCAAGCAGTTATCTCTATAAGCAGTGCGGAGTCTTATTATCGAGCACTTGCTTTGGGAATTTATGAAGAAATTTGGATCCAAAATTACTAAGTGAGCTGGGATACTCTACAGACAATCTCATAAAGATGTTATGTGATACTCTAAACAAGACCAAACACATTGAGATTGGTAGACATTTTATCTCTGAAAAAGTTAATCGATGCATTATTCACTTAATTTATATTCTAATTTATCTTCAAGTCATTGGTGTTTTTACTAAATCTCTAACTCCAGGCAGCTTCAATGATTTGAATACACTAAGCTGGGCCTTTACAACATCCATGACCCAGCTTGAAGGGGAGTGTGAAATTCTGAGTTTCATATTTTAATGTTACTTTCTTTTTATTATATTAGATTTCTTTCCTTCTTGAGTTATTTTATCTTTGATAAGTTGTAATGGTTGTAATTAAGTTTGCCCATGTTGTTCCTTATTATATTAGGTAATAGTTGTAATTTGATTAAAATAGGAAAATATGATTTTCCCCACCTTCTTACTTTTTTTTTTCATAATTGTTATAGCTTGAGGATATCATGCAAATTATCAACTGGAGTCCTTGTGTGATTATGACACTAAAATATATTATATAAGAAAAAAATGATTTATATACATATTGCACAATTCTTATGTATTTAGATATCTGGCACCTAAACTTTAATATTTACATGCAGAACACTCAAATCTTTAAAATCGCATAAAAATACCACTATTACTTGCTTTTTAAAAATGCAATACACCATTTTATGCCTAGGTTTTAATGTGATTATGACACATAAGTGTTATATAATATATAAATATCAATCTTTAGGTGTTTGATATATAACTATCGGCCATATTTAAGGGTGCATTTGGGACAGCTGTGGTTGTATAAAATCTCAGTTCAAATCCTGCTGTGAAAAATTTGTTGTTTAAAAACTAGTTCTCCAGAGGTAGTTGCTCTTTTTGAAAAATTCAATTTTGAAAGTGTGGTTCGTGAATAAATGTTTGAAATAACCCTGCTCAGATTCTATGGATCCCTCTAATTTCTCCTGCACGGGCCGTAACATGCCCGTTAAAGTTGCAAACAAACAGTAGAAACTCGGTGTTATCCCAAAAAAACGTGTTTTGGAAATCCTAAACAAACACATCCTAAATTTCTTTTTTTTAGGATTTTCAGTGATTTTAGCAGTTAAAAAGGATTGGAGAAAAACAAAATGCGAAGAGTGAATTGCACGTTTCAGATTATATCTATTCAATCCATAGATCTGAAAGATTCATTTCAAAATGAATTCCTCTCCAATTTTAAACACTTTTATTATTCACTTAATGAATGAAGAAAGAACGCTGTATTTGAGATTGTTGAAAAAAACCATGGCCTCTGATACTAAGTTGGGATGAGGTTCCTTCATAAACAAAAGCCATTACAAAGATTGTTGATAAAAACCATGGCCTCTGATACTGAGTTGGGATGAATGGAGGTTCCTTCATAAACAAAAGCCATTACAAAGAAGCAGTAGTTTATGTATGGGGCATTTACGTACATACCACACAATTCTTATATATTTACATATCTAACACCTAAGCTTTCATAGTTGCATGTATAACACTCAAATCTTGACTATTTCATAAAAGTATTACTTTTATTCACTTTTTAAAGGTGACAGCACATTTTTATAAGTATGTTTATGACACCAAAGTGCTATAAATGCAAATATCGAACCCAAGGTGTTGGAAATATAAATACATAAGAATTGTGTAATATGTGTAAGTCTCCCTTTATGTATTTAATAAGTCACAGGAGGTCATTATCCTTCTAAGAATCAAACAAATGTGTTAATTTCATTCTTGCATATTAATTTTCTAATGCTTTAATGCTTCATATCCAAATTCTAATAATTTTTTTTTTCTTCTATTGTGTTTAGTTGATGGAAAGGAAGTGGGGGACATCCAGAGCAAACTTCTCTGCCAATCTATATTGGATCTTTATATTGGTGATGACCCTTTTGATAAGAAGGCAAAAGAAGACTTTGAGGTGGGACTAATATCTCTTCTTCAAAATTAGACTTTTCATAATACTATAATCTAATTGTTTATTCAACTTCATCTGAATTTTTTCATTTTTAAAATTTTATCCATTCGATTTATTCATCCTTCATTTTGGGCTTACTTATTGTATTAAGCAATATTTTTAGGATTAGTTTTGCTCCCATTGTTGATGTTTTGATTTCCTTAAGAGCTCGTATGGTATCACTTTTGTTTCCTTAAGAGCTCTTGTGTGTGTGTGCTGCCAGTCGTGACCTGTTGGTAGAGCAACCTCTTTGAAGGTCGCAAGTTCTCTCAGGTCATGGGTTCCAATCCCCCTCTGGCTAGTTTGCCGGTAGAGAGGGCGGTCTTCAAATAGTTAGGCACATGAGGGTAACTGGGGGCTCATCTAATAGCCTCCGACTATTCTTTAATATATATATATATGCGCTCTTATGCTTGGTATAAGTAATTATATATGATACTCTATTTCATATCATATGCAATGCATATTTTATCAAAATATTTATTTCTAGATATATTGTGTTGATTCCAACTATATTCTAGTAAACCAAGGCAAAATCATGGATTGGAGTTCTAATCTGACTCTTGAGTTGACTTTGTCAAATTCTGGCCCCTTTTTTTTTGTGAATTTTGCGTTTGTACCTTCAAATCAATGGTAGTTTGTATAATATTGGATTAGCTTAGGACTAAAGCTTAAATCCATGATTATAAGCCTAGCTGTCTTATTGAGCGCATTCTTCGGTCATGAACTGTAAATTTCAGCCAGTAACGTCTTCTAAGCTCTAATAACTCTTAAATATGTTTAATTCAGTCATAGTGACTGTATGAAATCAAAGTTGGTGCGGTTAAGAGGTTTCATAATAATGATTTTTTACTTAATTTATCTCGCTTGTACAAAATGAATTTAATGTGTTTTGAAGATGTATGTGTTGCTTATTTTTTATTTTTTTTTTGTTTAATGCATCCAACCAGATGGCATAAATCTAGTAATTTTTTATTTAGTAAAATATTTTTTTCATTAAGCAGATAAGGTAGGTATAAATCATATAAGATGGCTTAAAAGCGGGAACATTACTATGTCCCGTCGAAGATTTGGTCATATCACTTTAGATATCACGTTGTGAAATTGTTGCAATCGTCCGAACATGTAGACATTGGACGTAATAATTTCTCTCAGGATTGATGTGATATAGGATATGAAATTTGTGATCCAAATGAGCGTTATTATGCTGGAGCTAGGCTCCACATATAACTTGTGTGGTGAGCTTATTGGTCAAGTTTCGAGTTTGATTTACCGACATATCTAAATTTATGAGAGATTTTAAGGGGATTTTATCATAAATAGCCATTTTTATTGCTGTACTATTACATTCTTTGTTATTAACTTGTATTTCTTTTTTTTTTTTACTATAATTAGTTTTGTTAACCGAAGACAATATTCCATCAACCCTGAATGATGTTTGGTGAAGTATTTTAAGAAATAATAGATTTTCATGAAATGTATAGTAATTCACCAAAAAAAAAAAACAAATTTTATCAAGTGCTTATATAACACATGGCTAAGGGTCATTTGAGATCATTTTTATTTATTTATTTTTATTTTATTTTGTTAGTTTGTGTGTGTGTGAGCGCACACGCAATATATATATATATATATATATATATATATAATCGGCAAGCTAGCACTATTAATTTTAACTCCATTGTAAGCAATGCGTGCAAGTTTACTTTGTAGAGAAAGAGATTTCAATGCATTTTAGCTCTGCATAACATGCCATATACTGAGAGAATTGTGGTAAGGGGTATGGCACTTCATGTGAAAAAACCTCTAAAAGAAAAAGCATCATGTGCCTTCCTTCAAATTGAAACAATTACATTGAAATATACGTTGTAAGGAGATCCCCTTCCTCAAACTCAAATAAGAAGTTAGTAAATAGAAAAATAAATAAATTGTTGTTGCTATTTTTATCATGGTTTAGAAAATCGGACACTGGACCGGCCAATTTGATTGATTCGACAGTGAAACTGCCATAGGTCTCGTTCCGATTGACATTAAAAAGCCCTCCCGACATAGGTTCTAAGAAACCGTTCAATTCGCGGGCATTTACATACATACCAGCTAATTTTATGTATTTTACATATCTAACACTACTCTTTTTTTTTTTTACATTTACACCACCCAAAGTACTCATATCACATCAAAAAAATCATTATTACATAGAAATTCAATTTACTTACATAAAACTCAATTTTATTTATTTACATATCTAACACTGAAACACTTTATCTTACATTTACACCACCAAAACTATCAATATCAAAAAAAGCATATCACTACATTAATGATTAAGAAGTGATGTACATATTTTCATGCATAGATAAAATGACATACGTTAAAATTGAATTTTAGGTGTTAGTTATTTAAATACATATGAATTAAGTGGGATGTAAATCTTATTTATTGTCATTTTCAAATGCATTTATGATTTATTGGGTCATCCGGTTCAACTCCAGTTCACCTTTTAACTTTGAACCTTTCCTTCTACCGGTTAAATATCAGATATGATTTTCACAACCTTGATTCTCATACTGGGACACAATGAAGTAGAGAAATGGGCAATTTTTCTATAAGAGGTGAAAGTACAAAGTAATATGACATAAAACTACATAAAATTCATTCAAGATTGTTTGATCAGTCTTTCTATAAATGTGAGGTAACAATGAGACAAAATTAGATTCATCTATGTTGTTTTTAGCAATTAAGAAGATTATCCTTTTAGATGTAAATGTAGCATGACCTAAAGCAAACAATAAGATGGTGTGGGCAAATCATTAGGCCATTTAAGGTGGTAAGATTATCCCTCCCACAGAACTGGTGACATCACGACTTAAAATTCATAATGAGTTGACATTGGAGGGTTATGAGGATGATAATAAATAGTTAATACATTCCTCCTTAAAGAGCTAACAATTGAAAAATATCAATAAGGCAACATAGATAGATTTTAGTGACTTCTTAAGATAGTTGGATTAATCATCTGTTAGAGGCGACAATGAATGAAAATTTATGTTGCATTAATAATAACTAAAGTTGGTTGGGATAACCCCTCTATTGCATGGAGAATTATAAATGAAATGGGATGATGGGTAATTAAAGGTACTTGGAGTTATCTTTCTCCTAAAAGTAAGGGAAATAATGACTCACATTCAAGAAGTAACAAATTCAATCAAGATAATCGGACTCAAAAAACAAGGAAAACTAAATGATCTTGTCAATGGGAGACCAAGGGTAATCTATACAGCTCATCTTCTAGAAAGAAATGAATTAAATAAAACAAAATTAGAGAAAATTAATAAGAGTTGGGGTAGTCCTTCTCTTAAAATAAGGAAACTGAATGACAAAATATTAACAAACAATTGACTAGAAAACTACATATCTTAAAAATAATAAAGAATAAAATGAATTCAAATTGGGTTCACTATAAGTGATTAAAATAACTCCTATCCTAAAAGCAAAATAAATAAACAACTTAAAATCAATGACTATTGAAAGTTGACTAGATTGTACCTCTCTTAGTTGTTGAGTGGATTGAAAATAACATATTTGATAAGATGTTGGAGGTTGTTAGGATAGTCTCTCTCTTAGGAAGATGGGCAACTAATTGTTTGAGAGTTGTTGAGATAGTCGTCATGGATGGAGATGGAGGACTGGATGAACTTGATTCAGCAGCACAAAGGAGTTCCAAAAACATTCAAACACTCACTAAATATATTTGGAAAATTATTTTCCTAAAAAAAGAAGGTTTGTGATGTACATGGTCATAGTTGCTAATGGAATCAAGGAGTACAAAAACGAATAATCTAAAAAAATCTCGGTAAGAATTCAGGAATAAGAAGGCAGAGAATTTGAAAAATTTATGATCGTTGACTTGTCAAAACGATCCTTGTTATATAACATGGAACTTATGTGGATGATTGAGTTCAATAAATGTCTGCATGGAGTAAAAAAAAAAACAATAAACTAATTTAAGGCTTTAAGTGGCTGTTCGGGCAATAAAACTCTTTGTGACTCTAGAGTTCATAATATGAAAAGAAAGGGTAAATTTATAAGATTTAAAGAGCAATTGACTTCATTGTCATAATCAAATAATATTCAATATTATTCATTATTATTATTAGGGATTTACGCATTAAATAAATTATACTTGTCTTTTTTTAGAAATTGTTTTGATGATCATATTGTTGGGTAGAGCAGAGGTCAGGACAAGCGATGATGACGCAATAATGATTGTCAACAATAAAGTTTAAAATTAGTAATCATGATTATTTTTAAGATCTTTCTGCTGCAAACCAACTAAGTTTATGGATTAATGTTTAAATGTCAAGTTTGATAATAATAATTTTAAGAAAAAATTTGGATTAAAATAAGGATGAACAAAGAACAACTACTATACATTATAATCTTAGTAAAATGTTCATCGCTTGGGAGAAATTTAATGATAGAAAATATATTACCGATTAGTGCCTTATATAATATACAATGATTTAAAGAAGTTACAAGGATCAAATTTAAAGTTGTAAGATAATGGTGATGATAAGAATACATTTTATGTTAATTTTGTAAACAATCAGTGAAATGATGACAAGAATAGGTTGGAAGAATTATGAAAGATGAGCTGAATAGATTTATTTCTAAAAGATGTATTCATTTAATTCATTTCTTTCTAGAAGATGAGCTATCTAGATTACCTTGGGTTTGAGGGTTGACTAAACTAATCCATTGGTTGTTTCAATTTTATTCGATATGATTAACTTACAAAATAAATATTAAACCAAATGAACACCTATTTCAACCATTTATTTAAATAAAACTAACTGAGGTTTAGATTTGGTTAGTTAGGTCTAGGTTGTTTATTGGTCAAACCTAGAGTCAAGGGGTGAGTCAGAGATTGTATATTTTTGTGGGAGGGAGTTGATTTCCCAATTCATTATCTTTATCAATTTGTCCACCCTAAATTTATGCTAACTTCGGGCAAAACTAATTAGGTTTTAGGTTATGTGTTCGTAAAAAATGAGTTTAGGTTGGGTCCATGGGAGAGTTTTAGATCTTTTGAGTCAATCAACATTAGTTTTAAACTTATGTGGCCCATGGACAAACTAGGATTTCATCCTAGCCAGCCTTGTGAACAAATTGTTCAAGTTTGGACTAAGGGGACCTACAAACTGACCTTAGTGAATGGAATTAGATTTAATTGACCTAGGAGGAACTAGATGACTTAAGGTTCACATTAACATGACGTTGTTTGAGGAGCTTGTTTAAGCTAATATGTGATTCTAATTTAATTTAGGCTAATACTAAAACTAATTCAATATAGTGTGGGTAATTTTTTTTATTACATTGTGCCTTAATTTAACATTAACCTTAAATCCTAAACTATAAATCCTAAACCAAATATTTTAAACCCTCAACCCCAAATTTTAAACCTAAAACCTAAATGCTAAACACTTAATTATAAACCCTGAATCCAAAAACCTAAACAAAAATCCAACATAACCATAAAACTTAAACCCTAAACTCTAAACCTTATAAAGTTGAAACCTTAAATTCTAAACACCAAACGCTAAACTAGACAATTTTTATGTACTAGGGTTAACCAAACTAAGTGTTATGATAATGATGGCTTATGTTTGAGTAGGTATATTTGGCATTGGATCAAGAGGAGGATGACAAATAAGTGTTAATGTGCTATAACTTAGTGAATTACATATGATAATTAGGTTAATTGAGATTGACAACTTAACATCAATGAAAGCAAGAATAAAATGGTTTGGTGTATATGATTTAAGAAATGGGTAAACAAAAAACATTGATGATGAAGTTCTATATGCAGTTATATCAAATGTGAGGCAAATATTCTTATATTAGGGGAACCAGATCAATCATGCATGCCTATGCATGAACTTAATTTTTAGATAAATTTAAGAAATTGATCATATACTCACGTGTTTATAGGCACTAGATGAACCAATATGTAGTGAATATCGCATAGTAGAAGTAGTTAAGAATAGTCTCTATTAAGAAAAGGGCAAGGGGGCTGCTCATAATTAATAGGAGATGGAAAAATTTGGATGAATAAAAGGAGACTCAATATTCTCACTTTGAAGGAGGGAACAAAATGAAAAAAAAATAGCAAACATTTAGAGACATCTATCATTTGGAAAAAAAGGGAATAAAATAATGGGAGTTAATGGGTGACCAAAGGTAATTAAGACAACTCTTCAATTATAAATAGAAAGAATAGAAAGAACTGGAGTCAATAAATTACTGAAGGCAATTAAGGTAACCATTTAGTTAGGAGGGAGACAAATAGAATAGCTAGAATTTGATAAGCAATTGAAGATATTCAAGATTATATTTCTTTTATAATTGGGTAAATTTGTTGACTACAAGTCTGTGTCTTATCAGATGTGGGGGTGTAAACGAGCCGAAAATGGGAGAGCTCAGAGCTTGTTCATGCTTGTTCATGTTCAGCTCATTTGAACTTTTCTTCGTTCAAAATGAGCTTGTGTTTGAAATAGCTCGTAAATAGCCAAGTTTGTGTTCAGCTCAATTTACATTTGAATTTGTTAAAATTAGCTAGCTTCAGCTTGATTTATAGCTACACTGTAACTTGCATATTATTTTTATTTCAACTCATTTGACTCAAATAATTTTTTTCTTCAAAATCTTTGTTTCATCAACACTTTTAATAACAAGTGCAAATAAAACCTGAATTTTTTTTCACATTTAAATAGGATTGCTAATGGGATATCTCCTTTGTATAGGCAGTGAGGGATTAAATGCTTCAATACAGACTGAGGGTCTGTTTGGGGCAACTACAACTGTTTGAAGAAGTAGTTGTGAAACTGCTGAAAAAGAAGCTGTTGTTCAAAAAACTGCGCTGGTTATTATAAAAAAGAAAAAAAATTAGAAAGTTAGATTGCAGCTTTCTAACAACCACCACAGGTAGTCATGTTTGATGAAAAAACACAACTTTCAGCTACAACTTTTTAAGAACGCAACTAAAACACAGTTTTCAAGACTGAAAAAATCCTGTTACGACACCACACCACCACCGCACTGCCGCCCCAAACACACCTTGAACTTCTGCGGAACTCAAGGGCCATTTACCTACATACCACCTAATTCTATATATATACATATATGATCAAAATAAAATTTTGGGCCTTTACATACATATAAGGGCAGAAATAATAGCAAGACAATGAAATTTTGGGGGAAAAAATGACATTTACATACATTCCGCCCAAACGTTATGTATTTGCATATGTACTGCAGTGCCTGTCTAAATCAAAGCATGTTTGGGACATTTACATACATACCACTCAAATCCTATTAATATATGTCTAATATCAAAACACGAGCTGTTCGGCAATGATGAGCTTTTCTTGACAACCCTACTCGAGGCAATTGTTCTTCTAATTGAAGAGGCGACTCATAACACATAATATAAGGAGAATAGGAGAATGCCAAGATAATAATTCATGATCATCAACTTGAATCTAAAAGTAGTAGGTTGACATAATGACATATTAATTTTTCTCTTGAATGAAAATGATGAGCTTTGTAACTAAGATTAATAGATATTCATATGGAAAAGCTACGAAAGGTAATTAAGGACTTCAACTGATGGTAAAAACTTTTAAAATTTCAATATTTTAAAATAAAAAAAAAATAAAAAAAAGAGAACTATGATCTATTTTTTAAGTCATGAGAGGTATATTTTGGTCATTATATTGTAACATTCAAAATAATTTTTATTTATATCAACAAAAATACGACAAATTTATCTTCCTTCTTATAAAAATCAACTTGATTCATGCCCCTAGATCAACCCAGTCAAAACAACTAGATTTTTTTTGTCCATAAGTATCCAATTATTGGGCACATTATATCATTTTGAAGTTTTGGACACCATAAATTCAAAAGAAATACTGCATGTATAGAAATAATGATGGTTAGGAAACAACATTAAGATTAATAAAAAATGATGAAAATGTTATATGATATTGTTATTGAAATCCTTATCTTCTTGGGAGTAATATAGTTCCATAAAGGGCCATTGAATTAGAATATTGTTTACGCCTTAATATTCATGAGAATATGTAGGGATCAAATTGAGAGCTCCTATAAAATACGATGATAATCCACCACATTTTTATTGAATTGCATGCCAATAACCTTCAAAATAACCAAACATTACAGATAATCAGAGACCTTTTGTATTTTATCTCCTACTACTTAGAAAAAAAATATTTTAAAAAATAATAATTATGATTTTAAATCAAATTTGATCCAAATATATGTTAAAATCATTGCATTATTTAAGAACAATATAATATAAAAATAATTCATTTCAAAATTTTAATGTACTTATTTTAAAATAATAAAAAAAAAACTTTTTTTTAGGCTCATCTTAATCACATTTCACCACTAGCCTTGCTTGTCCTTCTCGTTCATGCAACCCATCAACATAAATAGCACAACCGGCCACCTCGCCTCCCCTTGCCCTCGAATTAATCCCGCCTTATCTTCCTAAAGTGCAACTCCGCTTGGCTCTCATGGAAGCCTCGACTATTGCAACAACCTTCCCTCTCCGCCCCCTGTTTCTAGGGCCTCACTCCCGTTCCCACCTCAGCCGTTTCCGCTACCTCGGTCTTTCGATTCCCTTCTCGCGGCTCTTTGCCGCTTCTGTGAGATCTCGGGATCACCGCTGGCAGTTCACCACCCGGAGGTCCGGCGACCGTATCACCGCTCGCCCGTCGTCGGAGTTTCGGAGGAAGAACACTGGCGGGAATGGGGGCTCCGAGGACGAGAAGCTTAGATCGCTCCGAGAGCTTTTCTCGAGGCCGGGAATAGGAATCGACGCTTACATCATTCCCTCTCAGGACGCGCATCAGGTTAGGGCTTATAATCTGATTTGATTAGGATTGGTTCGTGTTTTAATTCCTTTTAAGCATTGGTTTGGTGAGCATAAAACATGCAGAAGAAGTATGTTCGTTAAGAGGATAATTTGTATTTTCGATTCATTCTATTGATAGTAATTTCGCTGCTATCATCTATGCGTCTATTTTATATGTTGCTTGTTTGTTTTGGTATTATGGAGCACATCTTGTGTATAAGGTGTGATATATGTCCTTCCATTATCCTATAAAAGCTCTTCCTGTTGTGAGCTGCTTTAAGTTAGTTGATAATAAAACAGAAGAAGTTAAATTATGTCGTCAGTGTTATAATTAGCTAGTTACTAAACTTAATTAGAAATTAAAATAGCTGAGTAATTACTATAAATAATCAACTGTTCGTTTGTAGTTTTAGCTACTAATGAAGATTGGTTAACCATTAACATTCGATTCATTAATATAGTTTTATGATTGAAAAATTTATTATAAAAATGATTTTTATATCAAGGAAATGAATGGAACTATATAAATAGCAAAAGGATATTTATACAGTAGAGGTATTGATTCTAAGTAGCATATAGTTGAGTAACTCGTGAGTTGATTTTGTTGTCGTTGAGCAGAAAAAATATGATTGTCAAAGGCATTTTGTGATTGCTACAAATATATATGATGCAAAAGTTACAAGCATTAGTGGCAATTATGAAGTTTTCAAAGAGTTTCAAATTATAGTGAAGTTATCAATCAGCATGATGCCACTTATCATCTCTTATTGAACATGAAATGCTTTTAAATGATGTTCCAAACTTCTTGGTGTATACTATTTGCAAATGATATAGTTTGCTAGGTGAGGTATCTTTTAATGTAAGTGAAATGTTAAATAATATAAGATATTCTTAAATATATAAGAGGCCTAAGATTGGTAGAACAATGATTGTGTATATGATAGTGAGTGAGCAACTGATAATTATCAGTAAATACGCTAGATTATCAAGTAATAACTAGGCTTGATAGGTTTAATAATCTTCCTTTTGTGAAACAAAAAAAACTAAAATATATATGATGGCATAACCTCTAGAGTCATGCGCTATTGAAAGATTGAAAATTCCTTTGGATCACTATATAATATGAGAATATTAGGGAAATCTGAAGGCAGTTGTTATAAATTGCTATTAGTTTGAATATGCTATGTGAGCTTTAGTTTTGGTCAGCAAGTCACTTATACTTGAGTGTGGTCGAAACAATAATATGAATATGGATGAGTGGTAAAGCAAGGAATGTTGGAGTTAAAAATGATTACATGGGAGGTATAGTTGCAGTTGCACATATTGAATGGAAAGTAGTGGATAATATGTATAGTTGGCTTTATCATACACGGAAGAAAAAAGATTCACCAAGAAGTATTGTTGATGGAATTTATATAGAGTGATTTGAAGGGGAATAAGTTAGCCAAAGAAAAAAAATAGTAGAAATGGTGTAAAATGAGTTGTGAAATCAAGTTGTCACCTCATGAGGTACTCAACATGTAAGGATTGGAGGATTCATAAAGATGTGCTTAAATAGTGGGTAAAAGTACTACGATGAACTGCATTTATGCTAAAAGCAATTTAATGCTATTAAGATTTGTTGGGAATTTTAATTAAAGAATGCAATTAATTTTTATGAACTTAAGGTTTTGTTGTTGTTGTTGTTGTTGTAATAAATACCCCCCAATAACTATGAATCTAAATTAAATGGATGTTATCAAAGCTAATTAACTACATTTTCTAATTAACTTTGGGCATGCCTTCAATATTTAATGTTATTATCAATTATGTATCCATAAAAGGAGGGATTTTATTTAAGACTTTATATTTGAAATTACCTAGATTCATGTTATGGAGTGACTATTGATTAAGACTAACTGTTTGAATAATATGCTTATTTGGAATAATTAATTTATTTCGTCAAGCACATGCTTTTTGTCTATAGCACGGTTAAGTCAATTTGATTTGGATTCAATTTTGAAGTAGGTAGGACCAAATAGTCCCCTTTTGCATGCACATGATAAACATTCTTTTCCTGAAAAATGTTTCTGGTTTATATTATTTAGATGTATTTTTCCTAGATTTCTAGTCATTTTAGAATATTAGTTCATGAGCGTAGTTTTCATGTTTTTCAATGCGAAAAATTACTATCTTCTATGGTGGTCCTACTCTACTAACATTTTTAGTTATCCTTATTACCATTTGGGATTAGCTTCATGAATCCTTCTTTTTCGCTCTTTATTCTTTCGTGCAACATGGTGTAATTGCTCTATTATGCACAAAATTTTTACAACATTTATCAATATCATTTTTGAAATGTTATTCTTTTTCTTGATTCTGGCATACTCATTTCATTTATCTTTTTTATTTCTACATCTTTTGCACTCCATTATACATGCCCTATTAACCATGTCGAAGTCTTATTTCTACTACATTTAGTAGTGTTCATTATATTGCCTCTCAAATATTTACATTCCCCACTTCTTCCTTAGTTTTGCTATAAATTCATTTTTGGGAAATTTACATACGTAGCATCGTATTCTTATGCATTTACATATCTCACACCTAAACTTTCATATTTTCATATATGACACTTTGGTGCTTTAAACCTATGCATGAAAATGTGTATTTCACTTTTGAAAAGTGATAATAATGTTATTTTTGATGTGATATTCAAGATTTGTGTGCTATGTGTGTAAATATGAAAGGTTGGGGTGAGATATGTAAATACATAAGAATTGTGTGTTATGGTTGTAAATGCCTGTTCATTTTTATGTTTTCATTTCTAGCATGCCACACTTAGTTATTGTGAAATTTAGGAGGAAACATTTTCAGAGGAAAAAACTTTCTAATTTTTTGATTGAACTAAAACAAGAAAATAACAAATATATATACAACTTAGACTAACCCTCATATAATTGGAAGAAAATTCAAATTATCATGATATGAAGGAAAGAAATAAAAATGCAATAATGGATAACTAAGGGAGAATAATTTCTCCATCACAAATGTAGCAGCGGACCTACGGTTTCCTAAACCGTGGTTGACACATGTGGTCCATCGTTATATGTATATCAATAGTTACAATACACATAACTATATGATATCCTCATTTTACTTTTAGTTTTACAAAACCTAAGTATAAAATCCTATAATATTCTCTTGCATAGTTGTTTTGAGGTGCGTCTCCATTTTACTTTTTTAGTTTGATCATCATTATAACCCTGCTCTGTTAGATCAAATGCACGTGAATCTCTCACATCTTGATATCATTTGATTCCAACAATACTAACTAATAATTTCAAATTTCATGTTCATGAATAATGAATATTAAATGCTTTATATTATTCTTTTAATTTCAACTCTCTTATTATTTATATGTTTTCTAAATTATTTTAGTTTTTTAACTTCAAAATATTTCATTAATTTGAACTATGCCATCGGTTTATAATATATACTAAGGTAACTTTGAATATCCATTGCAAGAATCTCTATAAACAATATCAGAAGATTCTAAAGTAATGTTGCTCAATGTAGGGGTGTAAACGAGCCGAACATCAGCAAGTTGAGCATTTTTTCGTCTTCGTGTTCGGCTCGCTTATAACTATTTGTGTTCAAAATTAGCTCTTGTTCGATAATTTTATGTTCGTGTTCAATTCAAATTGAGTTTGATTTGTGTTCGATTAAAATTGGCTCGATTTAAGCATGATATTTTGGCAAAATAAATTTTATTGAGTTCAAAATTTATTTGTGCTTTGCTCATTTTTTTTTTTAAATTTTATTTATGTTCAAACTCATGCTCGAAATGGTTGGAGGATTAAGGCAAGAGAAGTCCATCAATACGACTGGAGAAACGCCTTCAATTTGAGCAGTATTTAAACAACAATGGAATATTCATTTTTCTTAAACATACGATGTGGGACAAATAAAGATAGGCAACACTGCCACTAGGATTTTTTTCTTTTTAAGCCAATTTGCTTGAGTTAAAGATAAAAATATCTATCATATTTGGTCATTGTGCTTGGCATTATTTAATTCAAATTTTATGGCAAATTGTTCTGTTTCATTTTCTTATTATTATTTTTTATTTTTCCCTCTTTCAGAAATATACATACCACCCAACTGTTATGTATTTACATATCTAACTCCTAAATTAAGTTTGTGCTTTATTTTAGGCCCATTCACATACATTTACATATTCAACACTTAAACTTATACTTTTTAAAAGTATACCACTTAAATAAATTTTTAAAATAATAAAATTTAACATTTTTAATGCACATAAAACTAATTTAAAAGAATATAAATAATTATTATTTTTTAATTATTTTGAGCTAGAACGTGCCAAACATGAACGAACAAACCTATAGTCGTGTTTGACTCGTTTATAAATCAAACTTAAAAAAATTGTTCGTGTTTCATTCTTAACGAATGAATCGAACACGAGTTATTTAACCGGCCGAATACGAGCTATTCACAAACAATGAGTTTTTTTTATAGCCCTAGCGGAATGATATGAATTGAAAATTCTTGTGTTACATTCCAACATATCTTAATTTTGGTTAGTAATCCGTTATATTCATCTTTGCATAAGTTGTCTAAAAATGATTTTTTTATCAAAATTATTTTAGCAAAATACAAAAGCTTTAGGTATGAGTAACATGTTTTAGTATCATCATATTAACCTTATCCAAGGTTCAAACTATTGAAAAAAAAAGGAAAGAAGAAAAGTACATAACTTTAACATATATTGAACTCTTTTACACTTCTAATATGCATCCTTAGTTGTGAAAGCCTTAGATTAGTGGGGATGCTACTTTTGAATAAATTTCGATAAGTCTTATACTCCCAAAATTTGTGAGAAATAATCTATCTAAATTACTTATGATATACACATTGAAATAAAACTCACATTTATAAGGTACTCCAATTGCTTAAGTTACAACATAATCAAAACTACTCACTTTTTTTTTTCTAGAGTATTCTTGTTGATTCACCTAGTAATCAAATTATTGGCATGAATTTAAATGCAATTTTTTTAGCAGCATAATATCTCTTGTAGCACCTATAAAAAAGTTGTACTCCAACAATGAGCACATATCAACACACATAGAAAGCATTTAGTTATTCCTTCAATTTTTGAATTCCTTGAAATTGGAATTGTCTGCAAATTTTATAATCATGATTATGAGTGGATTGAAAAATCAAATAAATAGGATTAAATTGGAAATTAAAATGTAACAAAGAGTTCAATAAGTTGATCCTTGATGCCAAAGAATCAAGTTGATAATATCAAAGAAAAGAAATGATATTGAATTGCATGTTGATTCCATATATACATAACATTTACTCATTTGTATTGGGTTTGTCAAATCAAAACCAAAGCTTTTGTCATTTAATTATTTGAAATATTTCTTAATTTTTTCATTTTTAAGTTAGCATTATTTGTTGGCAAATAGATATGCTTGTCACGATCTGACTCATGAGCTTGGTGAGAATTATCGGTCCGATGGAAGAAAACTATCTAACAGTTTTATTGTCTAATTAAAATGAAATCCAAAACAAAAAAAAGTCATTTTATTTATAAAATTTTAATTTACTATGGTTCTTGTAGGTTTTAGTTTTATAATTGACATAAAATAAAAACTGAAATAAAATATCTATCAAGCTGCACTCTTCGACGCTTGTACACATACCCTCTAGGATTTATCTATCCAATAACAAGTTTTTCTATTAAATATTGACAACTGAATGTTTCAGTTAAACTACCTAGTGGACAAATATATCTAAATTACCATAATTGTTATTTTAAAAATATTTTTATAAAAAATAATATAAACAACAAAAAGTCTGTGTTGTAGACATAAAACAATAAAGAAAACAGTTTTCTGTATATTTTCATTTATTTTTATTTTATTTTTTGTTTTTGAGAGTCATCGTCTAAGCATATACTTCAAAAAATATACGTTTATGTTTTCCAACCCCCCAAATTGAGAGACATTCATTTTCTTTTTCATTTTTATTTCTATTTTCATTTTCATTTTGTATACTGTTACATCGTTTTCTCAGCCAGTACCATCTGGGTGTGACTCTACATACATGAATGTATCATATTTATTCTTTTTCTTATATTTAACATTTAAAAAAACATGAACTTAGAATTTTAAAAGAAATGCTAGAACCTATAAAAGAAAGTGTAATTACTTTATTAAATTAACAAATTTATTATAAAATAAAAAAAATACCTGTACAGTATAATCTGCTATCCTTTTCTATGTCCAATTAAATCTTTTGGTGTACCTATAGTAATACATTAGACATAATTAGCTTCTATTTAGCTTTCCCTTTTTATATTATTACTACAATATATTTTTAATAACCAGTCACAAACTATTAAAGGTAATTACATGTAAGTGTAGTTAACTTCAACAATGAAATAAATCTTTAACCCTAGTTGTTTTAGTACATCTGGATTATTATCTATAGTTTAATTTCCCTTATATATATATATATCTTAGATTAAGATAACAAAATTTCATCAATTAACTTTCATAATTCTGTTTTACCTGATTTTTTTGGCATGTTTTATTTAAGAGCAAATTTATTATGCCTTAAACTTAGGGTGCGGTCTTCTTAAAGTTTTAATTTAGCTTAACACTAATTGATTAGAAAAATAATATTTAATTATTAAAATCAACCGCATATCTGAATTTCTTTCTCACAACAAAGCCCCCTTTTTCTATTCTAGCCTTCTCACCAATTATCTTAAACAATTATTAACAAAATTGCAAAATTTTTAAAGTTTTTCTAAAATTTTGTTTAATTAATTTGGAATCATAATTTTCTACTATAATGACTAAAATAATAACAATAACTTCACATATTAAACTTCAAATTTCTTACCTAAGCCTATAATTCTTTGATTTTGAGCCTTGTTGTGAATACAAAACTTTAAGTTCTCGATCGAACATGTTAGGCTTGCGGATAAAACTCTCGCTTACTTAATTCATATGTTGGAGGATTCAAAAGGCTCGATCGAACCTCTCGGTCCAAAAAATGTAACACAATAGTGAAGGCCGCTCAGGTTCCCATCTTCTCCCTCACAGTTGTTTGAAATTGCACTCAGAGGGCTCGCGTGAGACGCTACCTCCCTCGTCTGTCGTTCAGTTAGAGCACGAGAATCCCTTCAATAGAGCCCTAGAGGCGTTCGATCGAGTACCTGGAGCCACTCGAACCTCCCTCTTCTTTTTCTTCTTCAATTAGGGCACAACTTCTTCGGTTGCCTCCGGTTCACGGTGTCGCTGGCTTTGCACGACAAGTTGAGTCGCACCTTTCTCCCCCCTTCTTCTTCCTTTCTATTCAACTTCTGCTTCCTCCTCCTCTTCTTCTTCTTCATCTGCTCTCTATCTCTCGCACATACGCAGACACACATTCTCTCTCGCTTTCTTTGTCTTGCGCGGTGGATACAAATGAGAAGATGAGGAATGATCCTCATATTAGATCTCCCACGGGTGGTGAGAGGCCTCCTCGATCGACACTTGTGAAGCAGGTGTTGTAATAGAAATTTTTTTTATGACTAAGTTCATTAAGGTTTTTTAGAAGGGTATTATTACAATATGTTAATGGTTTGTTCACTCATGCAGTGTGCTCTTTGTTCTTTGTAGTATTAACACTTTGCATGATTTCGTTTTGGCATCAAATGCCTACACTAGCATAGATGCATCATCTCGTGCTCAACTCTTTTTCTTTTAGCACATTTAGCATCACACCCCTTTTATTCTGCTAAACTTAAAAACCATTTATTCATGCATAAAAAATTGTGGCCACATCATATGTTTTGGACAAATTTCGGATTTCATTATTTTAGCATATTTTCTTCCATAAATATAAAAAATGTATCTTTCCTAAGATAAATATTTTTCTCACATTATTTATTTAAGATATATCTCTTGTCTACTTTTAGAGTGAATTTATTGCAGAATGCTTTATGAGAAGAACATACCTAACAGGCTTTGATGGTAGTGCTGGAACTGCTGTGGTAACCAAAGATATGGCTGCCCTATGGACTGATGGTCGCTATTTTCTTCAGGTAAGTCGCCAACATTTACTCCATTTTTGAATTAACCATGAGCCTCATGCATTTGATTGAGCCGTGCTAATGAGACATAGTATTTGAAATCAATATGTATATTTTTATCTTGTATATTAACGTAATTTTTGATTCCATAATGAATAGGCTGAGAAACAATTAGGACGTGATTGGACCCTCATGAGAAGTGGAAATCTTGGCGTTCCAACAATTACTGAGTGGCTGAACGAATCACTGCCCCCTGGTTGCAAAATTGGTGTTGATCCTGTCCGTTTCCATTGCTTTAGCTGATCTATTGCATAAGCTTTACCTAATATTTTGTGTTGGCATACAAACAAGTAATATTTGCACGATGACTTTCTTTATTGTAAAATAGCTTTATACAATTTAAGCTATGCTTTACTTGATATTACCTTTAATCTGGTAACTGGTTTTAGTTTTGGCATTTTCTTATTTTTGAAGTTTTGAATCTTTACTTTTCTTTTCTCTTTGTTTGACTAGTTTATACACATATTTTTCACCCTCCGTGTCTAATTTGTTATAAAGTTCACTAAAAGTAAAATTTTTAGTGTCATAGATTGTTCTTTTAGACTCCATGTGGTCCGTTTGATATTTTTCCCGATTCTTTGAGCTTTTTACATTTTAACCAATTTTTTTAACATATTTTCTTATATTTCTTCTTTTCTAGCACATTATTATTTCACCACAAACTATTTTTATTTATAAAATTTTTTTGTTTTGATTCTCCAAGTACATATTTTGCTACTTGTTTAATAGTATTTGTTACTTTATCCCACATAACATTCACTTCTTCATCAAGTTGGTTTCTATAAAAGTATCTTGAATTTTATTCATAAAAATAATTTTATTTGTGTCTTTTAGGTTCTCCCATCTAATTCTACGATGATGAGTCATATTATTCTTTATTTTACAACCCTTAATCTTAAAATCTAGAACTAATAATCGATGTTTGGTACTTAAATCCTTACTTGGAATGACTTTACAATCTTTGCAATCTCGACGATTTTTTCTTCTCATAAGAAAATAATCAATTTCTATTTTATTAGATCAATTCTTATCAATGGTTGTGTTAATTCAAATTCTCGAGCAATTTCCTAAAATTTATGTAAGAAACATTTTCTTTCTCACTTAAACTTTTAATTTTGAGTGTAGATTTTAAATTCAAATCTCAAATATGATTTCAAATAACAAATTAAATTTGGTCTCTATAGACACTCAAATTTAGGTTCAATCTTTTAATTTGAACCTAGTTTGACAAGTTGTGTAACATCCATAATGCTAAGATTAAATTTTCAAAAATAGCACTATGGATGGCTATATTTTCGTGGGGTTGAATCTATCATACATCATGTTTATGTAGACAACTTAATCACAAAAAGTGACTATTTTGTCATCTTTATAGTAAAATACTATTTTAATACATGTATGTCTAAGTCTTTTTTTGGACCACTTTCACCTATAGAAAAAAAAACCTCTAAAAAAAAAGAATAAAGATATAGAAAAAAACTACTAACCTCTTTGAAGGAATATGCCTCCATGGTTGTAGACTTGTTGATGTACCAATGGATACACAAATTTTGAGTGATATTGATGATCCATCTTAATATCACATTTTAGTTAACAAGTTCATTTTTTTTATTGTTATAAGATATTCTCTTTTACTATCGAAGTGGTTATTTAATGTATGAAAAATATAAAGAGGAAGCTATGAAACACGAATATGCACATGGGTACATGGACATGATACAACAACACGACATAATTGAATAAAGCAGGACACTACAAGTTTTAGACACAAATTTATTTTTAATAAATTATATATATATATATATATATATTCATTACTCTTTACTAAAGAATAAATATATCACAAATAAAGTATGTAAGAATAAAATTTAAATTTATAAATTTAACTTGTATTATGAAAATTTTAGTTTACAAAAATTAATTTTCAAAATTAGACATATATTTTGTTTCAAAAGAATTCTTCCAACTTATCTACTAAAGTTTAAATATTCTACGATTACGACTTGTTCAGTTAATTAGTTAAAATTTAATTTTTAGAATTAGAATAAGTATAGATTTATAACTATTAACTCATTAAAAAGAAATAATAATAATAAATTATCACTTACAAAATTAAGGCTACATTGACACCACTTGACTTGATGAATAGAAGCTTCAGTGCAAGTGTCACAAAGTTTGCTTGGTATTTGGATTTGATTCAACGAATATGTCTAGTTGGTTGTGACAAAGAAGCTTACGACTTTCGCTTTAGCGGGTGCATGCTCGACTTTGATGAGTAAAAGATAACTCCAATGATCTACCTTTGATGCTTACCGATGCTTAATGTTTAAAATTGCACAATTGGACATTGAGGTGTTTTCCATTCGTGTGGCGAGGCACAAGCTTCGAGACAGTCTAAGGTGTAAGCCTCACAGTTTCAAATTGCTTTAGTCAAAATATTGAGATAAAAATAATACATCACATCATAACTTTTATCTATGATTTCAAGATTTCAAGACATATATAAGTTATGATATATTTAATATAAACATATTTAATATAGATGTAAGTTATGATACAACAACAACAACATGCATTTATTTCACTAAGTGCGGTCGGCTACCTGAATCCTTTTTCTCCATTGTGTCCTATTGAGTATCATTTTTTCATTTAATCATAATAGATTAAGTTCATTTTTTATGCAATAAGCCCAAGTCTCTTAGGTCTACTTCTGCCTTTCTTAACATAGGTTGAATCTAAAACATTTACTCTTCTAACCGGATCATCATATGACCGACATTTAATGTGATCAAATCATCTAAGATGATTCTTTCTAATCTTATCTGCAACTGGAGCTACACTAACCCTTTCACGTTCACGGATATATTTGTTTCATTTCACATTTTATCTCTAATTGTCAAACCACTCATCCACCTAAGCATTCTCATCTCAACTTCACTTAACTTTGTTTTATGCTTCTTTTTTAAAGGCCAGCATTCTGCACCATAAAGCATTGCGGCTCTCATTACCATCTTTTAAAGTTTTCCTTTAAGTTTAACCTGCACTTTTCTTTCTTATAATAGGCCTGATGCATTTTTCCACATCAATTAACCAACCTAAATTCTATTAATAACTTCTCCATCTATATCACCATCACTTTGAACAATAGACCCGAGATATTTAAAACGTTCACACCTTTTAATGATTTGATCACCCATAGTTACAACTCTGCTATGAGAGCTACTACTAAAACTGTATTCCATGTATTCAACTTTTATATCTACTCAAATGAAGACATCTAGACTCTAATGTAGACCTCCATAATTTACGTTTTTCTGAACTCCTCTAGTTTTATCCATCAAAAGGATATCATCAGTGAAAACATACACCATGGCATATCCTCCTGTATATGTACAGTAAGAGCATCCATAACTAAAGCAAAAAAAAAAAAAGGGCTTAAAGCTGATCTCTGATTTAATCCAAATGTAATAGGAAAATTCTCGTTCAATCCTCTTTCAGTTCGAACTCAAGTAATAACTCTAGTATATAATCTTTAATGACTTTAATAAGTCATATCAACAACTTTCTTTTCTAGGACTCTCCTAAGAACTTCTCTTGGAACCTTATTGTATGTTTTTTCTAAATCAACAAAAATCTATGTTGACCCTCCTTATCTCTCTGTACTTCTCCATCAAACACTCAATAAATGTACAGTTTCCATAGTAGACCTGCTCGTCATAAATCCAAACTGATTATGATAAATCTTTAGATCACTTCTTAACCTATGTTCAATTGCCATCTCCCATAATTTTGAAGTACGACACATTAACTTAATTCCTTTATAATTTGCACACTCTTATGCATCCCTTTTATTCTTAAAAATGTGGATCAAAATATTCTTTTTCCATTCCTCATACATCTTTTTAATCTTTAAAATAATATGAAAGAATTTAGTAAGCCAAGAAATTTTCAAATCTCCTATATATTTCCACACTTCAATAGGGATATCTTCTGGTCTTATTGATTTTCCACAATCATTTTCTTAGAGCCTCCTCACCTTTCTTTTTACTAATACGACAATAAAAAATTAAACAAAAGGGGTGCACACAGTAGTGAAATTGCGATGAGGCATATGCCTTGCCTGAGCTTCTCAAGGCATAGCCTCAAAACGTTTTTCTTTGGAATTGTGCTTAGGCAGTCCTTAAAACATGCCTTAGATTATGCAATTTTAAACATTGGTGATGCTCTGCTTTAACGAATATTTGATGCACATTCGATGTTCGATTTTGACAAATTTTAGAGTGAACTTAGAGATGATGAGTAGAGACGGCTTCGACTATGAGGTATAATTAGGGCTGCACATATATTTATAATTTTCTACTTTGTGTTCAGTTTTTTTTTTTTAATTATGCTTTTATTTGATGCCATGTCGAGGTGTGTTCTAGTCATGTCTGGGCCAAAAAAAATTCAGACACATATTTTGTGGTGTCAGACAAGTGTCGGGGCATGTCAGAGCCGTGTGTGTGTTTGATACATATCCGACACGGGCACAACACATTTTTATAAGTGTCGCTGCCGCGTAGAGAGGAATTATGCAAAGCTATTCTTTGGATCATTGAGAATATAAAGAAGTCTCCCAAAAAAAAAGTTGCTACATACTAAATATGAGCAAATGGACATTGAAATGATCTCTGATGACTATTATTTTTGCCTTACTAAAATTTCAACTTTTTGATATCGCATCTTTGTTGGAAGAAATTTGGTCATTTGGAGAAAGAAAAATAATTGTGGCTGGGTTTATTGGAGTCAAATGTAGAGCTATGATATATTCTGCATATGAATTAATGTGGATTAAAAAGAGAATTTGGTTTCTCTATTTTTCTATCTATGATTTTATATAGTGAGAATCAAGTTAACACATACATTTCCAAATGTTTATGTACTCACCAATAATGTTGAAGTGGATTGCCATTTCTTGCTAGATGTTTTTCTTTTGAAGAAAATTCTTATTTTTGTCTCTAATGCTAAGCAAGTGACATTTTTACTAATGCACTGAGACACTCCCTTTTTCTTATTCACGTAATATAATGGAGGTTGTTGATATATGTTTTATCTTGAAGCGGAATGCTGATGAATTTAATGTTTATTTATTTAAGATTTGTTAAATGAAAAATTGAGTGAGATTATGTTTGAAGATATCCTCATAATCAAGGATATAATTTCCTTATTATTATCTCCTT